GGGCCCCCCCCCCCACCCCCGGCCCGGCCCCACCCACCCTGGCTGGCCCCTGCCCCAGTCCAAAAATGGATCCGTTTTCCAGCTCCTGGACCCGCCCCCAGCCCTAGGCCCCGCCCCTCCAAGACTCGGCCCCGCCCCACCTTCTACCTACTGAGCAGGTTCACCAGGCTGCTCTTCCCAGCGTTGGGGGGTCCGGTGACTACGACGTGCGCCCCCGAGCGGAGCCTCTGTCCTCGCCTGGCATCTCGTAAATGTGCGCCCAGGGCCACCTCCAGCGCCCGCACTTCACTGTCCGCTGCGGGTGGGGGAAGGTAGGCAGAGGGGATCTTGAGTGAGGGGGCTGAGATGCCATTCTTCCCCACCCTCTACCCCCAGGAGGACCCACCTTGCTCCAAGACACCCTCTTCCAGATTGTCATCTTCACCAAAATCAATATAGGCTTCCACGTGGGCCAGAGCCTGGGGATAAGAGGGTCGGGTAGGAACCCACTCCACCCTCCCACCCGCAGTTTCCCCGGGTTCAGCCTGACCTAAGCGGCTGTTGGACTGCTGGCTCATAGGTCTGAAGCTTTTACGCAGGGAATGGGTGATGGATAGGTGGGAGGCTCTCATGCTGGGTATGTCAGATGAAGGACTTGCCTTGGTGAGGGTCTCGGCCCAGCCGCGACAAAGGTGTCCCAGCTACCCGGAGAGACGCCACAGGAAAAAAAGGCCGCCGCTGCGCCTCGGTTTCCGCGTGGATCAGATCCGCGAGGCCCTCCACCTCGGTCAGGCTCAGCTTCCCGTGGGCGAACGCGCGCCTGGTGAACTCACCTGCCTCTGCCGGCCGCAACCCAGGCACGCTGCCTGCACGGGAAGGGCCGGGGTACTGAGCCTCCTGCTCCCCACTCAGACCCGCTGCAGAGCCAGCCCTGGAAACCAAGCCTGCAACTCACCCAGGGCCTGCAGGACGCCACTCACCACGGCTGGGCCTCCATGCACGTGGAATTCCACGCAGTCCTCACCCGTGAAACTTTGGGGACCTAGCGCGACAGAGACAAGAATCAGGACGAGTGGACAGCCCGGGCAAACTCCTGGAAGGGAGAAATTGGGTCATGGGAGCTAAAAGAGGTTCTGGATCAAGGGGCCCCTCACCTGGGAACCAAAGCACCAGTGCGCGGTCCAGTGGCTCCCGGGAGCGGGGATCGCTGAGCAGGCGTAGGCTGGCCTTGCGGGCTGGGGGCAGGTCCCGGGGCGCAGTGAGGCTCCAGAGGGCGTGGCTGCTGGCAGGGCCGCTGGTCCGAATCACCGCGATGCCGCAGCGGCCTTGGCCCGAGCTGAGTGCGAAGATGGTGGTCCCCGAACCCGGGACCCGGGTGCTGCTGCTCTGGCGCGTGCACAGTCTGGGATGGGAAAGGGAGCCGAGTCAGTGCATTTGGGAGGTGCCTGACTCAAATGGCAGGTGGACTGAGGGTTTGATGATCCGGGGATGCCAGGTGGTGGCTCTGCAGCTGGCACATTAGGGACTCTGAAGCCAAAAGGTGACCCAGATGTGGGCTCTGCGGCGGGGATGGGCAGGTGGGAGCTTGGAAGAACGCCAATCCAGGTTCTGCAGCAGGAAATTGGGCCCCCAGAACTCAAGGAGTGAATTGAGGCCCAAGTAGAAACCCCTGTTGTCACACCCCTTCCCCGAGTTGTCGCACCTGTGAGGCCCCCGTGCTGCCCGGGCCGCCAGAGTCCACAAACCCCGCCACATGGATTGACAGCACGCGACCCTCCTGCCCGACCTGCCTGTGAGGCTTCAGGTCAGGGCAAGAAGTCCCGCCCACTCCACAGCGTGAATGGTAACGTGCTTCACGACTCTCGACTACCATTGGATCCTTCAAGAGACGTCCCTCCCACCGACTGAATATCTTTGTTGTCATTGGTTGGTACAAAGAAAGAGGGCGGGTGCGCCCACGGAGTGGGTGCTGTGAAATAGTGTTCCCCCGCAACAACTGGAGACTACATTTTTAGGGTCCTAGAGCGTCAGGGATCCGAGACGACGGTGGAAGAAACAAAGCTAAGCTTGGCACCAGACTATGGAAATGACCGCGAGGCAAAGATTCAACTCCCGTATTTTGCACCTGATCACTCCGTAGGCGAGGCATGGACCTACGTGTGCTCGGTGTATCCGCCGGAGAAAGGACCCTTCTCTGCGTGTAGATTGGGACCGGAAACTCAGAATATCTCAGAGGCCGGAGGAATGAGTTCTGCGGCACCCACGCGATGGCCCAGGGACAATCTTCCCAAACTTCTGGGGAGAGTCCTACAATACTTTTCCCGGCTTCTCTCTCCCTCTGCCTCTTTCCTTCGGCCTCAGATGCCGTTCCTCATTTTTGACAAACTCAAGCTTAAAGCCTCGCTCCAAGGTCCCCTCCTCCAGGAAGCCTTCGTGGAACCCTCCCCCTACACACCCCCAGCACCGCCCTCTTTCCCCGCTGGGCTTCCCTAGTCCTCTCTCTAGCCCAGATCTGCACCTGCAGAGCCGAGCGTGTGGTTTGTCTCTGGCTTTCTGAAAGCCAAAAAGGGGAGCCTCGCAGATTGCTTTCAGGTTAACCCAGGACAACGCTGAGCTGCGGAATAAAGCGCTGATGGTGGAATTCCAGGCTCCGGCTGGGCGGGATCTCTGGAGCGCCTCTGCAAGGCCAGTTCTCTGGTTCTCGGCCAGAGGCCCCCCCGCCCCCCCCCTTCAACTCTTTTTCTGTGCAAAAGATTACAAAAGGACAATGACATTCGCCCTCCCACGCTGTTTCTCTGTAACAGGTATACACCAAGCGCCTACTAGGTGCCGAGCATTGAAAATCAGTATGGGGAAAGTGGCCTGGTGGTTAAGGGGACCGCCTGCATTCCACGTGGCTGACTGAGCGGTTCGAATCCCGGACCCAGTGGCCTGAGAGACACTCATGGCGGGTGTACACGTGTGTCCCAAATCCCTAAAAAAGAATGGAGGAACCAGCAGGTGGCATAATGCTTACGTATGGGACTGGACATCCACGTACAGGAGAATGCAGTTCCTGTACTGGACTTGGCGACTTAAAACTTATGCCTGGGAACCAACAGTTGGCGTAATGACTATGTCGCTGGACTCCCATGTAGTTGACTGCAGTTCCTGTCTGGTGAGCGCACGCACCCTATAGCAAAAACCTCTCCAAAAAATAAAACCAAACGAAACAAAAACTCACGCCTGGGCGCAAGTGCATGAGTGCCCAAAATCCCCAGAGGAGAAGGAATTGCAGCATGGCCACCCCCCCGTCTTTCTGTCTCTGTCTCTCCGGTGAGCGCGCATGCCCTATTGGAGAAGGGATTGCAGCGTGGTCGTCCCCCCTAGGGATGTACTTTCCCTCTGTCTCTTATCTTCCTCTGGGTGGCAGAAAAAGAAAAAAGATCGAGCACCTGCCCTCAGTGGGCTTTCTGTCTAACAGTATGATGGGGAGGGATGCCAGACAGGATACGGGATGCCCTGTTTTATATGCGTTTTTTGTTTCTTTAATTTTTGGGCTTTTTTAGAGAGAGATTTTTGCTCCGTGCACCTGCCTGGAGAGACAGAGAGAAAGCGAGCATCCTCAGGGGGGGGGATGACCACGCTGCAATCCCTTCTCCTCCATTCTTCTCTCGGGATCTTGGGCACATAAGTACACATGCCCCGCGTGAATTTTACACTGCAAGGTTCAGGACTCGATCCGCAGGCAGCTATGTGGGAGTCCAGCGACATAAGCATTATGCCACCTGCTGGTCCCAGGATGCCCTGTTAAATGTCCAGGGACCAACAGATGACATAATGGTTACGTCGCTGGACTCCCACGTAGTTGGCGCGGTTTGAGTCCCAGGCCCGGCAGTTTGAGTCTCAGGCCCGGCGGCTTGAAACTTAAGCCAGGCGTGAGTGCACACGTTGCCCAAGGTCCCGAGAGGAGAAAGGAGGAGAAGGGACTGCAGGGTGGCCATCCCCCCGCCCCCTGGGAGGGGGGGGTTTCTTGCTTTCTGTCTCCCTGTCTCTCCACGTCTCTAGTGAGCACATGCACCCTATAATAAAAATCTCTCTCTTAAAAATAAAAAAAAAAAGTGAATTTTGGGACCAGCAGGTGGCATGGTGGTTAAGGTGCTGGACACTCCCACGTGGCTGACTTGAGTCTCACTCGCCTCCCCATGGACAAATTAAAATAAATGCATTAATAAATAAAATTAAATAAATAATTTTAAAAAGAAGTGAATTTCAAATAAACATGAATAACATTTTAGTATAACCATATCCTATGTAATATTTAGGATCCATAAAACATGTATTCATTTATCTAAAATTTACATTTCACTAGGGAGGCTGTACAAGGCGGAGTTCAAAAAGTTGATGAGAAATGTGTATTTAAAAATACCATGGGAGGGACCAGCAGTTGGCGTAATGGCTATGTCGCTGGACTCCCACGTAGTCAACCACGGTTCGCGTCCCGGACCCGGTAGCTTAAAACTCATGCTGGGCGCGTGTGCGTGCATGCCCAAGATCCCGAGAGGAGAATGGAGGAGAAGGGATTGCGGTGTGGCCATCCCCTCTGGGGGTGATTTTTCGCTTTCTGTCTCTCTGTCTCTCTCTGTCTTTCTGGCGAGCGCACCCGCCCTATAGCAAAAATCTCTCCGAAAAAAAAAAAAATGGGGCTGGCAGGTGGCGTGATGGTGAAGGCACTGGACTCCCGCATGGACCAGGGTTCAAGTCCCAGACCTGGCAGCTTACTTTCTCCCCTCTTTTTCTGGTCAAATGGAATGATAATAATTAACTAATTTAATTTACTAATTTAAAAAATATATTTATTTGTTTATTTGTTGTGATTTTCAAGCCACCAGGTCTGGGACTTGAACCATAGCCATGTGGGAACCCAGCACCTTAATTTGCCAACCTTGACAGCTCTCTGGGATAATCTCAGAAGTCATTTCCAGAAGCGTGCAGGTTAATGGGGTCAGCTGGGGTGTAGTGTCCAAAGGCAGCTGCAAGACACGTGTTCAAGAGTCTTGAGGCGGGACCTGGTATAATTATTTATTTGCATCATTATTGTGGTTGTTGAAGTTATGGTCACCAGGAATCTGTCCTGACCAGGTCTGCCACCTCCACATCCCGTCATAGTCTAATCACGCCCATTTCAAATTTTAAACCTCGCCTCTGGTATCCAGGGTTTGCAAATAAGGAAACGGAGCCTCCAAAACAGAGGCCAGAAGAAGGTGCCGGTGGGGAAGTACTTGGAGAATGCATCATCCGTGCGGGCGGGGACGAACACCAGAGAGCAATGTGGGCGGGTGAAAACAAACCCCAGAAAAACAACACGGGCGGGGACAAGAACCAGAGAGTGAGGCGGGCGGGCTGGGACGAGAACCAAAATGTGACGCGCGCTGGGAAGGAGAATCTAGGTTCGGCTCGGGCGGGGACGAGAAGCAGCGCTCAGGCGCGCGAGGACGGCGGTCGGCGCGGGCGGGCGCGGGCCTTGTCTCCTCCTCCCGCGCGCCAACCCGCGTGTAGCCCCTGACCTGACCGATCTTCGTCATGGCCGAGGCTGCCTCCGGCGCCGGGGGCACGTCCCTGGAGGGCGAGCGTGGCAAGAGGCCCCCGCCGGAGGGCGAGCCTGCAGCTCCGGCATCCGGAGTTTTGGGTATGTGTGCAGCGGCTGGACCCGAGAGGGTTGCAGGTGCCTTGATGCGCTCGTAGGCTGGACGGAGAAGAGGATTGGGGTCAAACCTCCTGGGCCTGGAGTCTCACCGAGGGGCCGGCTCCTCCCGGCATTGCGGCTGCGGCCCGGCGGGCGGGGCTGGCACGGTGCAGCAGGCTGGGGTCCCAGCGCAGAGATGGGGACACGCCCCTCCGAGAGCCTGGGCCTGGGGTTCAGCGCCCCATCACTCTGGGTCTACCGGATCGCAGTGGGACAGGGATGTGCTTGAGAAAGCCTCTCTGCGGAGTATTCCGAATCACAGGGTCCTGGGTTCGAATCCCAGCTTGGCTCTATGACCTTGGGAGAGTGACTTAAACGCTCTGGGCCTCAGTTTCCTCACCTGTGAAATGGGGGTAAGAACCCCACCCAACTCACAGGGCTGCTGTTAGGACGCTCTGTCATAATGGGAAGCGCTCAGGGTTGCTAGTGAGGCGCTCTATGGATTGTGGTTTTGGAGGCGGAGCCGGGCCTCTAGAATGAGTAAGATTTGTAAGGGAGGGCCTTGGGGG